TAATTTTTTTTATTTTTTTACAAAGAACCACTTCTCACCCGTTCGACGTGCTACTCGGACGTTACCTGGATATGGAGTACAACGTGTTGGGTATTTAACCCCTTGTGCTGGCAACTGATTGCGCGGACCATAACGAGTGACCGAGCCGTACACAATAATTCGTCGCTTTCCTTTCGAACTCGTCGGTATGATATCACTGGATAGAAACTATTGAGAAGTAATTGAACAAATTTATTATTTGCCTCGGTTATACTTAAATATACTTAGATATACTTAGATACATTTAAATATACTTAAATATACTTAGAACTGAGAAAATGTTGCAAAAAATTCTCGACATGCGTGGCACGTCATTCCAGCGCAAGTGGTTAAACACTCGTCGACGTACATACCATTTATCTCTCATTTCGCAACAAGTTGCAAGCAGATCCAACCACGGGAAGACCGTAAATCTCGTTGTACGCGTGGCAGACGAGGAAACGAAACAACGAATTGCAAATCGTTAGGGAAGACGGATGACCGCTTGGACGGAATCACGAGGCTAATTTGCCAAATTGATTTTCGTGATTTTCGACCGGTTGCCGGCGACATTGTGAGAGCAATCCTCGTAGCCGAATCGAGCGAAGAATTCTTATTGCTCAGCAAACTGGCTCGACGTGATCGGTGAACGAAAATGGAGATAAACGCACGTGGACTGAGCAGAGAGATGGAACGATCAGAGAACCTTGATCTCGAGTTTCGACTAGCAGCAACGAATTAATACGATCTATCGAGGCGCCGCTAGAATCCGTGCTAATCCGTTTGTTCTACATGTGAGAGAGCTTTGTTACGCCCACGTTTGGCGACTAGAAGACTAGACACAGTATCGAACTTGGTGCAAGTCCTTGTATTGTATTAAAAGTCTTTCCTTCATCCAAAAATAGGAATTAAATAGAATTATTTCAGTAGTTAAATATGCAAAATAAGATGAAACTTCCGAAACTACGTTTAAAAACATTCTATACGAACACTACGGTTTTTAAAACTATTTTTAAGCATACCGTAATGAGTTAAATCGCCTCGGATTGCACTTTTTAGGTACAAGTCCTTTTAAAAGTCTTTCTCTCCTGCTCGAAAAAAAAGTACGATTATTTCAGTCGTCAAATATGTAAAATAATCGAAACTAATTAATGGATTAATTCGTTGGAGTGCCAAAATTGAGAAATGGATTGAGAAAACATTCTACTACGCGTGCATCATATTTCTTCAACCCTAAGAAGTTAAACCGGATTGCGCTGGATCCAGAACGTGCAAAGTCTGATCGAGCTTCGATCGGGCACAATAAAAACGAGGAATGCCTGGCGATGTTTGGAAAATAGCCGATCCACAAGTAGGGGCCACGTGCTCTCGTCATGATGTGGATCGTTCGATGCCTCGATACGCTCGTAAAAACGCGCGCAAATCAACGATAATATAAACTTCGCCGCTTATCGTCCGTAAAATACAGCCGCGAATTAAGTCGGCGACGAACAGCTGAATTCCCCTAATTCAGCAAGCGTTTACTACAAGCCAGCTTGCAGCCCGCTGTTTGGCAACTGATAAACCTATAAATACGAAGCACGTGCTCCGTATTTTATGGAGGTGTAGCAAGAGATAGAAAGAGAGAGAGAGAGAGAGAGAGAGACGCGGATATCTTGGAGAAACAGCCGGTTGCTAGCTGCTAGATTATTCGGTCGCGTCGAGGCTGGTAAATCAGTCAAACCATATTTCGCGTCGAGCACCGGCTCGGTCTCGCTCTCGTAAATCGATAAAAGTTGAAATTATACTCGCTCGCTATGCGTGATCGACCGCCAATGCGATTTCCTTCGGCGCACGAACGACAGTCGAAAATATATACGCGTACGCGTGTCAAACGACTCGTCGTCGCGCACCCGTTTCCCGTTTTTATTGCGTAAATTGTCGATCGTTCATAGGCGTAGGTTATGGATAGAAGTCTGGAGGTTGGATAAACGGAGGCGCGCGATACTCTCGATGGATTCGTAACAATTCGAACGCGGCATGAAAAATTTAAGGCGCGACTCAGACGTCTAGAACCAATGACCATCCGCGCATTACTCAGGGTTTAACTTTTTGGCTGTGACGCCGCTTTTAAAAACGTGCATCTACACCGCTAGTCGCTATTATGTGCAGTTGTTCGTTATAAAACTGAATTAAATTATTAAATTAAATTATTTTAGATTTTATTGTTTGACTTGATTAACATTAGTAGCAAGGAAATATTTAGCAATGATGTAAGAAGAAGAACTAGTCTGGTCTCGAGATATTCTAAAATGTCTAAAATTTACAAACGCGTTCTATCTTCCACAAAAAGTTCAACTTGAGTAATTGAAACAAAGAAAAAAAACGCCATTTCGTCATTCACGGCTAAAAGTATTTAACCAAAATGGGAACGAAATTCAAAAACGTCGCGTCGACGCCGCGCCTTCCAGTAGAGCAGACCGATCAGCAAATCAAAGAGCGTGCAACAAGTAAAAGTTTGCTCGACGAAGCTTACAAACGCCTCTAATCGATCCAAGTCGTGCCTTTGTTCCTTCACTTTGTTTGCGTTCTAAAAACGACGAGAAAAGAATCTCTCCGACAAAATTCGTGCAATTTCGCATTTTTACGGATATAATGAAAAAAAGAACAGACGGGAGGCTAATAGAATGTCACTGTATTTTATCAAAGTCATATCACGTGCATTTTTTCAGCCTCAAAGTGTCTGCGAATACACGAAAGTGTATTACATTGCACATCGCAGATTAGACATCGTGTTTTCTCGTTCGCAGAAACTCAAACGAGGACATCGAAACTGGAACGTGAGGCAAACGTGCGGCGAGAATCGGCCGGGACACAGAAAAGTCCATCTACGCTTCTGTCGGCTGGTGGAAAATTGAACGAGGAGTCCGTCCGCGATCTAGGAACGCGGATTAATTATCTAAATTTACCGCATTACGGGTCTCGGGCGTGACGACGCGCGTCTTCGTTACCACATGTCAACGATTTATTTTTGTAGCGAGCCACGGCCCTGTGGTAATTGTAACTAGCTAGTTCTCTAGCGAACGTTCGACCTTGTTTTTTCAAGCTAACGAGCTTGATTCGTGAGACAGACAGACAGACAGACAGACAGAAAACGGCAGGAAAAGAGAAACGCGGCGCCCACGCGTTTTTGCGTTTTGCGCGCGTCCAGAGAGGCAACCGGTCGGGTTTGCTCTCTCACAATCAGTTGGATCCTCTGGACGCCCGACGAAAATATGGACACCGTGCACGATTTTTCCGGGAATCCGCCGTCCCACGCGGCCGCCAACGAAAATGAATCGGGCAAAGCTTTAGGGACGATCACAAAGCCAGGCAGATTCGGCTGGGTATACGTGGCATAACTGTAAATCCGTCTCACAGTGGTTATAGATGCAACCGAGCACGACGTGTACTCTGCCGACCCACACCTTTCTCCTCCAAGGCCCGCGACAGCTGGAAGCAGGATCGGCTCTCTTTCTCTCCTCCCCTTGGCTGCCCCGGCCAATTAATTCGCTATTACCGCATTGCTAGTCCGTAAATCACGGAGGATAATTGCCAACCGGTAATTTCACCGCTGCTCAGTTACGCTCCGGGATAATGGATGCATCGTGAAGCATTTTCGATGGCAACGACTCCGCCACCGTTCTCTCGATCTTGTTCCGATCGATTGGCTCCCCACCGTTCTTTCGTCATATTCGTCGAGTTTTTGGTTTAACGCCTTTAGTCACGCTATTGCGAATTCAATCCCTTTTTCTTTTTCTTTTCTTTCGTCTCTTACTGGTGTAGAACGAACGAGTCGACTCGGTGAAATTCGATTCTTAACGAACGTTCGCCTTGCCGCGAAATTAAAAGTATCAAACTCAGTGCTACTAATATTGAGTAATTATTAGGTCATCTCAGAAGTTTGTCTGACAGAGGATACCGATTTCGATGATGTTTGGCGTAAATGTAATTTGCAATCGTCGATGTCGAGGGGGTGAAAACTACACTCAAGTCTACAATAAATCCACATAGATCAAGAGGGTGGCTGCATACTTTTTTACAGCTTACATACTTACATACTTATATTTCAAATTTTCAAAAATTCATTCGTAAAATTTGATAATACTATAAAATACTATAATAATATTGTAATACTATAAAATGATACTATAATGATATATAATATTATAAAATACTATAATGATAATAATATTATGTATAATATTATAAAATACCATAATAATAATATTATACATAATATTATAAAATACCATAATAATAATATTATACATAATATTATAAAATACCATAATAATAATATTATACATAATATTATAAAATACTATAATAATATATAATATTATAACTATAATATATAATATTATAAAATACTATAATAATACTATAATACTATAAAAAGGAATGAACCTACAAATTACACCGATCAAATCAAAAATGAAATCAAACGATCGTCGAATTTCATCGAATCGCGTCGTATCGCCCACCTCTTTGTGGTTCTGACGAATCAGAGGATGCGAGAGGTCACGCGTTCCCTGTCCTTCCTAGCTAATGGAACGGGATAATTATTCCGGACAAGCAACCCGATATATCCCGACTAGCGAGACTCGTCGATCGATAGAATGCATTAGGCGATGCACGACTAATTGAAAGGCAATGGGATTCATCGATCATTCGAGGCGGATCGCGGACGAGTGTCAACAGACGTGGGAAACTCGAAGACTTTGACACGAAAGTGTGTCAGCGTTACGAGCTCGTTCGAGAACGAGCACCGATTTAAACCGCCGTTTTAAATGCCTATTCCGTGGCTCGCGGAAGCACGTTTCCTCTTCGCCTCTTATCACCGATAAGGCGGGGACCAAGGTGAACTGACATTTTTCCGCGAAAAGAGGGACACCGCGCGGTGTGAACTACTTAACAGTGTATTATTATTATTATTATTGTGAAACGATGTCGACGCTTACCTCCACGTGTGAGGCGAGAATCCTGAACACGTATCACCGCACTGCAGGCAAGGTTGGCCCTCCTCCACGTCCGTGATCAGGACACCCTGCGATCAAACAAGTATAAAAATACATTTCTCGTCGTGTGTTTCGCCGACGTGTATATTTCCAAGCATAACGAGATATTAATCCCGGCCTGATCTAATAATACGTTTCAGCACGCCTTTTGCATTTTACGCATCTTTTACGCTCTAGTAGATGTTTTATTGCAATCGACGATCGAGTTTCTCCGATTCTGCGAAAATAAATCGCAGGGAGGAAGGAAAGAATATTTTTTCATTCGGACTTGGTTCGAACCCCGCCGACAAAGTCGAACATGTCGAACTGCAGAAACGTGTAATCGTTTTGTCGTCCACACTGTGTAAAAGCACGGTGACATTTATCATCCAGTGTTGATGCAAAAGGTCTCATCAAAGATAAATAAACTGGCCATCATGAGATCGCGGAACATTAATTGCAAAATGGTGAAAGGTTCAGATCATCCTTTGCGAATAGCAAATGTCAATCGCCGTGGGCGTCGTTCGACGACTCCTCTATTCGGCCACGAATCTGATCGAACACGCGGATACCTCGCTCGCTCAGTCAGCGACGAATAAAAAAATGACGGCAGAAAGAAAGAGCCGAGAGCGTGCGTCGAGGAAAAGTGCGTCATCCTTTCGCGCGATCGTGACGCGTTGATAATTACGTGCGAAGCGGGACAAGGTCGAAGTCGCCAGTCTACCCAGTAATTGGCAAAACTTTGGCCGTACAGCTCGTTGCACGGTGGCAAATCGCTCGTATGTATAGTAACAACGAATCCACGCATTCCAAAGAAACGAAGGATCCTTCGAACGAAGCTTTTCCTTTTCAGAGAGATTAGACGCGCGCGCGATCGTCGTTTAACCCGTTGCGCCGGCAACTGATTCGCGGACCATAACGAGTGACCGAACTGTATAGAATAATTCGTCGCTTTCCTTTTCTTTTAAACTCGTCGGTATGACGTCATTGGATAGAAATTATTAAAAAGTAACAAACTTATCATTTGCTTCGCCTGTGTTGCATTTAAATATACTTAGAACTGAGAAAATGTTGCAATTTGGGAGAAAAAATTCTCGACGTGCGTGGCACAAGAGGTTAATTATTTCGATATTTGTATTTCATACATCTTAAAAAGGGTAGTTTGTTTAAAATATTAATTCGATGCTATTTGATAGTATTCGATAGTATTTCGTATGTTAAAAAGGATAGTTTGTTCAAAATATTATTTATTTTAATCCCTTGCGCTGGCAGACTGATTGCGGACCGTAACGAGCGACCGAACCGTATACAATAATTCGTCGCTTTCTTTTTCTTTTAAACTCGTCGGTATGACGTCACTGGATAGAAATTATTAAGAAATAATATAACTTATCATTTGTTTTGCCTGTGTTACATTTAAATATACTTAGAACTGAGAAAATTTTGCAATTTGGGAGAAAAAAAATTCTCGTCGTGCGTGGCACGTCATTCCAGCGCAAGAGATTGAAGGATCGCCCGGTGACATTTGGACACTTTGGCGAGGAGCAGCTTCGAAACGCGCGGCGAGCAACGATAAAGGAAAGCAGCAAAGAGGATGGAAGGCTCGTGGCGCGTTGGATGCGTTCAAGAACCTTCCGGACGGCATATATGGTCGGTGTCCGCCCACGTGGAACAGGTCGCGGCACTGGCATCGCCAAATATCGAGTAGACAAGCAACACGCCGCGGAAAAATATGTGAGCCGATGCGTGTCTCTAGCTGTCTATATATAGAGATCTTGAATAATGAACCGCGAGCGAGCCTCGCGTCGCCTAATTAACATATTTTTCGTCTGAACTGACTCACGAGTGAAAGGACCCCTTCTTTTCATTTTTTCCCTCACTTTTTCCCCTCTCTGGTGCTCGCCGCTACCAGCTGGTAATCACCTGGAAATACCTCGCCGTGTTTGACTTGCGTCAGCCGTGTTCTTTCAAATATCAATCCCAGACATTTTAATCCCGAGCAGCTCGCTTCGAGTCGTTTCGAGTTTCCCGTTGTTGAATCATACGCTAAGACGACGATTGGATCATTCCTCGAATGACGTTTACTTTCGAGGAGTGTAAAAAATGAGTCTCTCTCTCTCTCTCTCTCTCTCTTTCTCTCTTTCTTAGCAATCGTCCATCACTCGTCACGTGCACACATTGTCGCGATTTTGTCGACGCGATGCACGCGAGGTCGTCGCGGTTCCATCGACTCGCGTTGTTCGCGACGATGATCGACGATCGTCGATCACACGGACAAAGGCTTGCCTTTTCTCGTACGCGGTGGCGGTTGCGAACACGCACGCGCCGAGAAGAGAAGAGAGTACGTGTCCTACACGCGGCGCGACCATTCCGTTTGTAGGCGGTTCGCTGACATTTCCATGACGCGTTGGCCAACAGACGGTGGAATTACGCAAGGACGTTGAAAACTTGCGTTAAGCCGACTGTCATGACGAACTGTTAACCCTCTCTCGAACCTGATACCGGATCGGATAATCACGGATAAATGAAACCGGGCGCGCGAAAAAGTTTCAAACGTCTCGGGATTTGACCAACTTTTGACTCACCAGAGAGGAGAAACCGAGCGAGTTCGCTCGAGAAAGTTCGCGCCTGACCGGTGTCCATGCTCGATGAAAGAGCTAAACCGCCGAGCAACGAGTGGATTAATTAATTGAAGGATCAGCGAGCGTTGACGAGGATAAATCAACACGGTGACAGTTTGCTTTCACCTTTTATTCGATATATTATTCGTTCGTTACTCGCCACGATGGGCGACCACGGTGTCTGGAATCAGCTGGTGTTCCGAATATACGGTGGCAACGAACATACGAAGTTCGCATGTACAAAGTACGACGCATCAGGGTTGGATTTGAATCAAAACGTTTCACTGGTCAACTGAGAAATTTAATGAAAACTTTCTACATTGCAATCTCGCATCTGATAATTCTAGTTAAAGATAAGTCTCACGATGATATTAACTCTCGTAATTACTTTCACTTGCTTCATACATGTTCCCCAAGCTCTCGTGCAGCCTGGACGCGATAAAAGTGTATAACTGGCTATGCCAGCGGAATAACAGCGTATAATAGCACCGCGTAGTTATCGCTGGCCGCTGGACGAAAAGAAATCGCTGTAGAAAAGCCCGTGGCAGGAGCGAGAGCCACCGGCTAACGACCGATCGGCAACGCGAGCAAGTCGCGTGAAACGCGGCGAGAAAACCTCTTTCGCACCTTTGCAACGATTACACCAACACACACTCGTCACGTGCATGTACGTGCATGATTCCGTCCAGCGGCGTAGTGTGTCGCCCGGGTGAAAATCAGTGAAACGAAATTTCATGATGCGCGCGATGGCCGATTCGCCACGGTTCTCGTGAAAACTTTCATCGAGACTCTCATCTCGTTCTCATCTTCTCCATCGATTTATGAATATAGCCTCCCGCTTCTGAACCATAAAGGACCGATCGAACGCAATTGACTCATGAAAATGCCATACCCCTTCACGGTAGTTCCAGACTCTTCTCGAAGGTGTGGAAACGCCTCTTCCCGACGCTATAGAACCGTCTCGATCCTCTCCGCGGCTCGATTCTCTCTGTCGACGATGATCCTCCCGCTCCTCTTCCTCTTCGTCATCCTCGTCGCTGTCCGCTTCGTCCTCCGCCTCGTAACGCCGTGTCCTCCTTCCGGCGTGCGTGTCCTGCAGAGGACGACGCCGACGTCTCCTCTCGACAGCCGTCTCCGGGCTCGTTCGAATCCTGATGATCGTCGCCCCGTTTCTCTCGTGCGTCGTCGACGTGCATCTGCTCTCCGAATCTCGCTCCCGATTCGAGTCACCAGAGTGCGTTTCCAATTTCGCGCGGCCGCGTCTCGAACCGCTGTCGATCTCCGTCGAGCGGAAACCTCGCGTTTCCGGCGACGGATCTCGATCGATCTCCGAACGACCGTCCGGATTCGCACGGTATCTGCTGCTGTTCTCGCGGAAGTACCTGGCGGCGAAGATCCGGTTGCTCTCGTGCCACGACTTGCTGTCGAATTCCGGCTCGCGGCCGTTGCTAGTGTCCTCTCGACACTCGATCCGCAACTCGTCCCGTTTCGGCGGTGTCAACGGTCTCGAGTGTCTGTCCGATCGTTTCTCCACGGCATCCTGATTCTTCCCCCTCGGAGACCGTCGCCTCTTCTCCGAATCGTTCGGCGGACTCCTCGTTCGAATCTCCTCGTCGCCTTGACTACGAAACGAGACGACACCACTGCCCAACTCGACGTACCGTCCATTTGGCGACTGCCCCTTTCTCGGCTCGTCCAAGTTTCGAAGATCGTCGCCGTCGACACCGTCTTTGCAGCAAATCCCGCCAAACTCGACCGTCTTTTCTTTGAACGAGTTCCTTCGGGCCGAATCGGAACGATCTTTGAAGCCGACTTTCAGACCGACGTCCTCCCGATCTCTGCACGAGCGAACCGATCCAATCGAATCGTAGTCCTGCTCTTTGAAAGTGATCCTACTGACTCCGTCGGCGTGCCCCTTCAACGAACGTTTCCTCTCCTGTTCGGTGTCGTCGCGATTCCTCGGCAGAATTCTCCCGTAATCCGAATTCTGCTCCCTCGACGAGCTCTTTCGCGAGACGTGCTTCGTGTCCCTTCCTCCAAAATACTTTCTCTCCAGCTGGTCCTGATTCTTGAACGAGTTCTTTCTGCACGGATCGTTCTCCTGGCCCTTGAGGGACGTTTTTCTGCTCAGGCTGGACTCTCTGTCTCGAGAGTGGCTCCTCCTCGTGTCGCCGGACACCTCGAACGAACTCTTCCTCGTCACTTGTCGATCGTGATCCTTCAACGAGTCCTTCCTTCCCAAGTCAGCGGTCGAATCTTTCAACGAAACGCGCCTAAACGATTCCAGATCTCTTCTGGGCTCCACGACAGCTCTCTCGTACCTCTGTATACGCACGTCGAAATCCTCCGGATTGCTGTCGTACGCGTGATTTCTTCTCCTTCGCGAAACCTCGTCGTCCGCTTCTCTGCTCGGTCGTCGGTGAGTTCTCTCCGCGAGTTTCCTCTCCGTCTCTCGATCCGCCGACCGATTTCTGCCATCGTCCTCCTGCTCGTATCTTTCGTGGTCTCGTGATTTAGGCTCGTTGGCACGGTCCACTCGAATCTTCTCCGGACTGCGCGAGCACTCGCGCTCTATCCGAGACTTCAGCTTGTCGTCCTCCCGAGACCTGAACCGATCGATCATCGCCCTGATCTTACGATCCGGCGATCTTCCGTCGATGGCCAAGTTCTCGATCTCCCTCAGAAGCTGTTCCCTCTCGTCGTTTCTCTGATCATTGATCTCGTCGTCGTCGTCGTCGTCGTCGTCGTCGCGCTTCGATCGTCTCAGCTTCGAATTTTCCCAATTCTCTTTCCTTCTCGACCCGTGCGATCCGTCCTGCTCACGATCGACAGATCCCGTACGCGTTCTCGCGCGCGGCGTCTCCACGCGATCGTCTCTCGATCGTCCGTTGATCAATCGAGCATCGTTACCTTCGAATCGATCCACCGTCTGCTTCCTCGGCCCGACACTCTCGTCCTGGACGATGTCCTTGATGTCCCAGGCGCCAAAGTGCTCCTTGCTCTTTTTGTACAACAAGTCGGCGTTCGCGTTCACATGCTCCTTATAGTCACGACCGTTCTTGCTCACCTCGTCGTTCGGTTGCCTCGTCATACCGAAATGGTAGCGATTCGAGTTGCTCTTGCACGACTTTAACGCGCGATCCGGCTGCTCGTGGTGGAAACGATCCGTGGAGAACGAGGACACTTTCGAGCCTTCCTTAATCGACGACGAGCCACGAAGACGAGACATGGTCGTTGCTCGATCGATTATTATTATTATTATTATTATTATTATTATTATTATTATTATTATTATTATTATTATTATTATTCACTAGAACCGATCGACTTCACGTCACAGTTGAAAACTCTTCGAGATTCGGTTCTACGCGTATCCTGGGTGCCTTTCTTGATCGCGAATATCCTCGTCCACTCGTCAGCAGAGAGATCACCACAGCTTGAGTCACGTATCGACGGCGCAGTCCGCGGAGCGAGATCGTCCGGTCGCGACTACCGAGGAGGAGGATTCAAAAGCGAGTGACATCGGTAGTCGGTCAAGGAACTCGGTGCGATGGTTTCGATCGCTGTAGCACAAAAACAACGACGACGACGACGACGATGGGAAGGAGATTGAGAGAGAAAAACGCGCGTCGCGGACTCGGTGTCTCATCGATCCTTTGATAACGAATCACGATCGTGATCGAGGGAGAGAGAGAGAGAGACAGAGTGAGAGAGAGAAAGAAAGAGAAAGAGAGAGAGAGAAAGAAAAACAGAGGACAAGCTCTTCTCGTCGCTTCTCGGCGCAACAGCCAGTTATATCTTTGGTTCCGGCGATTTCGGTGGCTTCTTTTCGCGAGACGAAGCCGGCTTTGGCCGAACGAGCGGAGCAGACGACCCTGAAAGTCGTCTGTGGACTTTCACGAACGCGAGCAGCACTTTGCCAGTCGAAGTCACCGCGAGAGTGTGCACCGGAGAGGAGAGCGTGTTGCTCCTCTCCCCCTCTTCGTCCTGTCCACCACCTTCCTCCTCTTGGATGCCACGCTCTCCACCGACCACGTCCCCCTCCGTTCGCTGCAACGTTCCTCCGCGTCCTCCTCTCCTTCAGCCGCCTCGCTGTCCTCCGTCCTCCGTCCTCCGTCCTCCGTCCTCCGTCCACCATCCTGCGGTCCTCTTCGAGGTGAGGCGCGGACCACTCGATTCTCCCGTTAATCCGGCTCCTCTCTGCCGTCGTCCGCCTCCTCATCCTCATCCTCATCCTCTGCCGCCGCGACACCACACCAACCACGTGAGCTCGACCTCGCTCGAGTTCACCGGGATTCTGGGACTCTTCTCCTCCTCCTCCTCCTCCTCCTCCCGCCGAGCTTTTCCATTTCGTTCCTCCGATTTTCTCTCTTCTTTCCTCCTCCAGTCATTTCTTTTCTTCGTAGCACGCGCTACGATCGAAAGTTGCAAACGTTTGCGTTACGATTCTTCTCATCTCTGTTCGAGGAGCTTTTGTCTAATCACAGTCATTTCGATGGTACGATCGACAGTATTAATCGACTCTCTCTCTCTTTCTCGTCGGCGAACGGTTCTCGGCGTTGTTTTGCCAGTTCTGGCTGGGAAAGAAGCCTGGCAAAAAAAAGAGTGGAGGAACGCCGTCACCGACCGCACCAGTTCCTAATGACGGTGCGTCGCGGTTGAATCCGACACTCGGATGGCGAGGATCGGCAGGCGCCATCGTCGTTTAATACCGCGTTAGGCAAGAAAACGGGGCAAGATCGTCCCCATCTGGTTTCCTTGGGAATGACAGCTGAAAAGTGTGGACAGAGACAAGCGTATCTGCGCTTGACTCGCTCAGCGTGTCCTTTGTACAAAGTACGACGAATAATCGGGCGATCGAGACACTTGAGTAGACTTCCATTTCACCGGCGAACGTCGTTTACGGATGAACAAGTACAGTGAATTATGTTTAAAACACACATGCACTTTCGTTTCGATAAAGTTTGACGTGCAAACGATCGTTGTTGCACAAAGATGACAATTTCTGGTCAAAGCGGAGCCGTGGAGACATAGATCCAAGAAAAAGAAGTACGGTTACAGTCGCTCCAATTATCTGGTCAAGGCTAAAATGACGGAAATTTCGTCGGGCGATTCACGAATGACACATGATACAGAAATAACGAAAAAAAATCTGAGAAATGACGCCAAGTATTCTTTTTCACCAAACATCGAAAACAGAGAGAGATAGAGAGATAGAGAGAGTCATTCAGACGAGCAAAGTCCACGAGTAATGCTTGGCGAGACGTTTGCTCGCACGACACGGACTCGTCCGTGCGCGTCTAATAAGTTCTCGGACGCGGGTTCGAGCCGATGGATCGCAGCACTCGTTGGTTCGTTGCAACCCTCGTTTCGTGCTCCCTCGAGCGAGAAACGTGTCGAGCCCTGCTTAATGAGACGGGATAATTCCACTTAAACGAGGCAGCCGTCTCGTTAGGCCCGTGACAACACCACCAGGACCAGGTGGAATGATAGCGTAGAGGAGGGGGTTAAAGTATGACGGCGCGTCGATTAGAACTGGCGTTACAATTTACGACGGGGTGGGATCAATTTATCGCGCGTGGGCGGCGGTGGCGATTGTAAATTGACACAGACAGATAATTTTCGATCGGGGTTTTAGAGCGCCGCGCCGGCTGAAAGCGCTTTCGCCTATCGCGGGTATCGGCTCCCCTAAGTGGGCTGTCGCTGTTACGCCACGTAACTAAACAATCGCTCTCTCTCTCTCGTTTAGAATATGACTTACGACAACGGCACGCTGATATCTCGGCCGATCTCGGCCGGGCAATCGCATAGGTTCGAGGCACACCACGTAGAATTGTTCTGAACGCGTTAACTGCCACGCCGGCTACTAGGGAACTTTAAAATCGAAGCAAATGTTGCCGGACGTCACAAACTCGGAATGGTTAATCATAAATCATTACAGAACTAACGAAATCTGAATGAAATCTGCAATAGTAGTTGATACTTATTCAAAAATGTTAAATTCTACGAAAGTGAAAGCCGAATGCGACGACGATTGTTTGAAATTTAAAGCAAAAGTCCCTAGGGACTCCCGGCGTGGCAGTTAACGTGTCAGTGGAATCGATACAGAACTGACGAAATCTGACAGTAAAATTTGCAATGGTAGCCGATACTCGTTCAAAAATGTCAGATTCTACGTTGAGACAGCAGTAAAGATCAAATGTGACGACGATTGCTTAAACTTCAAAGTAAAAATCCCTAGGAATAGGCGTGGCGGTTAACGTGTTAATGGAATTAATACAAAATTGACGAAATCTGAATGAAATCTGCAACAATAGTCGATATTCATTCAAAAATGTCAAATTCTACGTCGAAACAGGAATAAAATTTGAATGTGACGACGATTGCTTAGATTTTAAAGAAAAAGTCCCTAGTAATCGGCGTGGCAGTTAACGTGTTAATGGAATTAATACAAAATTGACAAATTCTGAGTAAAATTTGCAATAGTGGTCGATACTCGTTTAAAAATGTCAAATTCTACGTCGAGACAGCGGTAAAAGTTAAAACAATATCAAAATATTGAATTCGAAGCGAAAGCTTCTTCTATCTTTACCAATCTATAACTTATACCAGCTTTTCTTTCCAATATTTCTTTTTTTTTTTCTTTTTGTACTGACAGACTCCATTTATGTGATTTTCATTCCACGTGGAGGAACGGGTGTACATAAATTGCACATTCTTTCCTGTTAAACTCGTTACTTTGTGCATCACCAAGCTTGAGGTGGATTCGCGAGTCAATTCTAATCAGAACACGACAACTCCTTAACGGATCCAGGTACCGTAAACGCACGCGCGATTAATTCCGTAATTGTTCGATGAATTCCCAACCGTGAAAAAGCTGCGAACCAAGACGTCTCGAGGAAGAGCCAACGAGAGTCAGCTTGTACTTTCCTCGCTTCCATCGGAAATCGCGTTCGGTTGATTTCCATGAGTTTGTTTCGTTTCGCCGGGACGAGCTGTGGTAAAAGTGCACGGCGGCATTAAGAGGCCGGAGAAAAAGAAAGCAAGCGAGACAGACAGAGAGAGAAAGAGAGAGAAAAAGAGACTGAGGGAAAGAAACCTGCCATTAAAAAGAGGAGGAGCATATCGGAGTTGGTTATCTAGGCTAAAGGCTATGCGCGCGATCGATTTCACGAACGATCTTTTTCGTACGCATGCACGAGAAATCAAGGCCGCCGCTTTATGCATCTTCTTCGATGGCCGACGGAAACGACTGTATATACCCACGCCTCATCTCCTGCTTCCTCCTACGCGTGATCCTTTGAAAAAGTCGGTCGAAGATCGATAATTAAATATCCTTGCCTCTACCAGCCCGCGCAGAAACGTATGTCCAACGCCCGAACGATAAAGACGACGAAGTTTCGAAACGGCATACCTTTCGGAAACGACGCCGAGTATCGATCCGTTCGATGTAACTCGATGTTGGACAATTGTTCGGGCATCGATAATTACGTTATACCCTTGGCGAGACTTGACAAGCAACGTTGTATATTTCATTTCTAGAGCACAATATATCTACCTAGAAAAAGAAAAAAGAAGAAAACACACACACGCTCGAGAGGACCACCGAGCATCAGTCGATGGCTCGTGGTCGGTGTTAGATGCTTTTTTTCACGCGAATCGAAATGTCGCGGCGAGAGAGGAGTTTTCGTGGAACTCGCTGGTTACAGCCCTGTGTGTGGGCCGCGACAAGGTCCTGTCACAACGCCCCCGCCGTTTTGCACCGGAGAGGTCTAACCGCTGCTCGGTGAACGGGGCCTTACGAGCGCGCGAGCGCGCGCGCGCGTATCGACCTTTTCGCCCGAAATGGCGAGATCGAGGGTATCCGTCGAATCGACGGTTTGCTCCTCTCGATTATCTGTGTCACGGAGAGGCTCGATCGCTCCCCGCTCGCGCGAATAATCCAACGATCGACAAGTCAGTCGACAAACTGAGCAGCGCGGAGGGATAAAAATCTTGCCTGCCCGTATCGATCGTGGAAACTTATTACTTTACGACGGTCGTAGAGACACGGTGAACCGCGTTGAAACGTGCCTCTGCCACGGAGGCGCACGTAAAAAACGGGCTTAATCGGATAGCGATAGATAGATGCGGGTATGTCCGTTCGCGGCGTGTCGCACGCGATGTCTTACGTATCTGTCGGATTCAAGGGCGGTTGTATCGCGAGCACCGATCGATTTTTAAGGCGCGCGTTCGCACGTCTAC